CAACTGAATATCTCACTGTTGGAGATTAAGGTTATATCAATTTAGTAATTTTTCCAAAAGAAGAAGGTATCCAAGCTACTACTATAGCTTACGGAGTTCCCTTGACATGAGCATCCTCTTGGTGATCAACAACTAATTCCTAACCCTGAGCATCCTTTACTTGAATAGAAACAGGTCTACAATAATTGGCTTCCCTTCAATAGGTGGCACCACAGCTGATGCATACCTTGCCACCATAAAAATAATAAAAGTTTGATTTATCTTAGCGTAATAAACTCTCTCTAATTCATAAAAGAAGCTCCTTTTGTTGGTAAGCCAACAATTGCAAGAACTCTAGTTCCCTCATTAATAGTTTTGACCAACCCTACTTTGCTTATACTTATAGTATTTGTTATAATAAGAACCACAAAATTCAAAAAAGAAGAACTTACGGCCTCTAGCTTAGTTTCACTGTTGATATCTCCATTCAATTGATCAACCATAGTAGTGATGGATGGATTCAACATAGTTATACTTCTACTTTGATATCTTCTTGAGTAAACATAAGAATTTCTTAGAGGAGATTAGTATAAACCTTATTCCCTGTATTAGAAAATATAACCCAAGCGACATATCTACCCTCCTTAGAGCCCAATAATCAATCCACTTTATTAACATATAGTCTAATATCATCAATATCTTGAACTTACTAATTCTAATGGTCTTTATTATTCATAAATCCTGCTCAAGCTCAATAGGATCAGGTTTAACAACCACCTTATCCTGAATAGATTAAGCCTCATTCTTAGCATGAAGCTGAGAAATATTGATACTTGATTACATTCCATTGGAAATAACATCTTTTGAACTACCAAACTACATTGGTCTGGGTCTTGGTTGGATCCTGTGCTCTTTCGAAGATGCTTCAGTGGTGGAAAAGGTATTAGCAGGTGGACCTTGGTGGGTTAGAGGCCATGTGGTTGGTCTAGATAGATGGTCACCTAATTTCAATCCAACTTCTTTAAAGGGAATTTCTTCTCCGGTGTGGATAAGGTTGCCCAACCTACCCCTGCAATGTTGGGACGAGGTCAACATATGCAGGATTGCTTCACAGATAGGTAAACCGTATATACTGGACGGAAACTTATTTGAATGGAGCAGAAGAGAATTTGCTCGTGTTTGTGTACGAATTCCTCTTGATTTGAAACTGCCTCAAGGGGTATGGGTGGAAGGTTTAACAGGAAAGTTCTTTCAAAAGGTAGAATATGAGGGAATTTCTAAAATTTGTAATGAATGTGGTAAAGCCGGGCACGTTGGAAGTATGTGTAGGAGTTTGAAGGAGAAGGTTGGTTCTGATTATACAGATAATCCAAATGTAGTCATTAATGGTGGTCGAAATCCTACTCTAGTGGACTCGTTCTCTCAGCTTGAGAAGGGTAAGGGTGAAGAAAGCTCCTGGACTGTTGTTAAACACGGGAAGAAGAAGGTGAATAGAGTAATGGATAACAGGAAATTTTTCAATAGAAAGTTTTCAGTTCATATGAAGAAGTTGTATGTTCCCAAAATTGGCACTTCCAACCAGAAAAAGAAATCTGTTTCAAATGCTATTAATCTGGTTAATAAGCCGGAGGAGGTAGCTGGGGTTAATCAAGATCCGGTTAAGGATGTTATTGATGATGAGGATATGGTGACAGATAAAAGTAATCATCCAGATAACAATCTTAAGGTCGGTAAGGAGTTGGAATCTTCAGTGCTGGTTCAGAATCAATTTGATTCTTTATCAAATTTAGAAGAAAAAGGGCATGTGGTGGTCTCAGAGGTTGAAGCTGGAGGAGAACCAGAAGAAGGAGAAGTCTTACGATCACCGATATAGCCTATTATTGGTCTGGAGGAAGGAAATTTGAAGCAAAATTCGGGGTCCTCATTGAAGAAGGATCATTCTAAGAATAACTCAAGTTCTGTAAGGAACCACTCTTTGGAAAAGAAAGCTAAACTTCTCAAGGAATTGAAATCCCTTGGAGCAGGTAACATACTTCCTCATAATAGGAAAGGGGAGAGTGAAAAGGTAAAGAAGGTTGGGGGCCCTTCCCCCATCTTTAATCAATGAGTTCTTTACTCTTTTGGAATTGTAGAGGAGCCAAGAAAGTGGAGGCTGCTCTATATCTAAAGGAGGTGATCAAGGATCATAAGGTGTTCTTTGTTGGTTTGTTGGAAATGAAGATCAATACCTTAGAAAGTACTCAAATTATGAAGATGTTGGGAGATAAGTGGAGTTTCTATTTAGTTCCAGCAATGGGCCTGTCAGGAGGCATAATGATGTTATGGAGGAATGATATA